CTGAATCGGGCCTCTGTGTCCTGGCTCCCCCAGCACTTTGCATTTTGCCTGGCTTTCATCCTACATAATAAAACCGGTTGTTATTTTTCTGACTGGCCTCCAGACTCTCATTAGCTTTCACTCTGAGTACCCAGAGCACACAAGACGTTAGAGCCAAAGAGAGGTTCTCTCTGGCAGAGCCCGGAGTCCTGGTGAGTCTCCCATGCTGGCAGCCTGTGTTCCCAGGCCCCGGAGTGGCAGGTGGCATTGCCAGCGGTAAGGAAAGCATACCTGCAGAAGACAGCAACCAGGCGGTAAAAAGCTGGTTGGAGGGTGGATGGGGTGAGGGTCTGCAAGTCCCCCTAGGGTCCCCTGCACTTGCAAAGACAAGAGTTCCTTGGAAAGCCAGCTTGACTTGTTTTGACAGCTTCAAGCCCTGGGTCCTTTGGATTTCCAGAGTCTTCCCTGCTTCCTTTGTGTGACTTTTCAGTTACCCTGTAATTGAGGAAGGGGTGCTCCTTCTGGGTTGGCTGTGAGGTTGTTGAAACCTTATTTCTCCAGGGAGCTGTGTGTTGTGGCTCTGCTGGGCTGGGAGGTTGCTGGAGAGAATAATCGTCGATACCCTAGCTTCTGCAGACAAGCACCTTCCAGAGCAGAAACAAGAGCGGAGATGCTCACAACCGGTACCTGACTATGTCCACTCTGCCCAGCAGCGTGCTCAGTGGTACAAGCCATATTCTTACACTTAATCTTCTCAACAAACTCTATGAAGTATTCCTATTGGAACCTCCCATCTTGCAGATGGAAAATTAAGTCTGGGAAGGCGACATAACATTGTCCTGCTTGATAAGGTAGATGTGTTGAGGGTCCAAGATGCTGTTCTGTGTCTTCGACAGTAGAAACCCCGAGGTGGTAAGAAGCCTGTATACGGCAAACCCTGAGAAGCAGCTTAGGGGATTCCTCACTCTACATAGCTGCTGTTTTCAAAGCCTCAACAATCTCCCCATAGATTGTGGTGTTCAGAAACCTTAACTGTCTCGGGACTAGTTAGGTGCTATGGGATTTAGTACTGTTGCCTATGGTAAGGGTTTCCTCCCTCCCTCCCTCCCTCCTTCCCTCCCTCCTTTCTTTCCTTTCTTTCTTTCTTTCTTTCTTTCTTTCTTTCTTTCTTTCTTTCTTTCTTTCTTTCTTTCTTTTTCTTTTTAAAAGGTTAAACTTATCTTTTTGTGTGTGATGATAGAGCCCCAAGGGGACCCAGCAGCCTGGGCCTCTGCCCAGGGAGATTTCATAGCAGTGAGCAGCCCTTTGTACAAAGCTTCATCCACATTTGTAGAGGAGGGTTGGCATGATTGGCAGGGGTGGGGTGGGGAGTGGAGGGCTTCTTTCTGAGAATCTGCAACACTCAGGGCAGCTTTTTGGGGGAGGACTATCCTCATGAAGTCTGAGTGCTGTTAATTACGTAGGCACTTAGTGCTTCCTAGCCTCATAGGTGATCCAGTCTCAAGTGGTTAGCCCTGGACATGTGTAAATGAGCAACACCAAATGTACTCAGTGAGTTGTGTACACGTGTTACATATGTACTATAATATTTAAGGAAGGGGTCATGACTTTGGGAAGGGGCCATGGGAGGAGTTGGAGGGGGAGGGATGTGACGGCGTGTGTTTGTGCACATCCATGGGAAACACAGACTTGCTGTGTGTTTTATTGCCATAGGACTGTGCCAGCCGAGCTGTCAGGGAAATTCGCTCAGTTGGTAAAGCACTTTCCTCACAAGTTTGAGGATCTGAGTTCTGTTCCCAGAACCCACTTAGAAAGCCAGCCATGGTGGCAAAGGCTTGTAATCTTAGAGATGGGGAGGGAGAGAAACAGTCCGGTTTTTAATATAGACTTAAGCAACTTTTGTTGAAACAGTAGGATATGCTGCTAATAAAAGAACCCAGCCAATAGCACTCACGTAAGGAAAGTTTCCAAATTACCCTTTGAGCTTGCAATTTGTATGTTGAGCTTATTGGTTTCTTATTTGCTGTACTGTCTCTCTCTGTATCCAGTAGACACAGGCATGCCAAGCTCCAGAGAGCGTAGTTTAGCATGAGTAACTAGCCAGTCACAGGCAAGAGAGTTCTCCATCCATAGAAGACGTGTGGGAGCTAAGGTGCAAAGCATGCACCAGACACAAAGTAACAGAAGCTGCTGGGCAATAAGTGCACTTGTGTGCAAAGCATGCACCAGACACAAAGTAACAGAAGCTGCTGGGCAATAAGTGCACTTGTGTGCAAAGCATGCATCAGACATAAAGTTACAGTGACCGCTCTGCAATAAACACACTCACGTATGCTTCTGAGCACTCACTCGAATGTGAATTTCTCTTTCTTGGCCATTGGGAAGTTGTAGTAGCTGGCAAGCTTGGGGGCCTTTGGTCACCCCACTTCACACCCTGCCCTTTCTGTCACTGGGCTTCCCAGCAAGCCAATGCGCTGATCTCCAGAAAGCAGCCGGCATGATCGCCACCCCTCAACACCGGAGACTGTTACAAACTCAGTAATGACGTCATCGCTCAAAGTGTCTCCCGACTCAGATTTGCTGGGTGAATTTCCTGGACATTTCAATGGCTTTTGTTTTATTTCACTGCTGGAACCGATCTGTATACAAAGCAATATGCTGGTGGGCCCAACACAGATAACATTCACATGGCGGTTTAATGAGAGCTGGGAGCAGAGAGAGAGGCCAGGAGTGAGGAAGTTTTCTGAGAATTTGATAGAAGCGGGTTGGGAAGCTTGTCAGTGAGATGGGGACAGGAAAAGGACTTTTCTGGAGGTGAGGTTTGTTTGAGACTGTCTCACTACCGACCAGGCTGGCCTCAAAATATGGCCGTCCTCTGTCCCAGTTTCCCTGAGCTAGGATCAACTGTGCCAAGCTTGAAATAGCAAAATTTTAGACTTTCTTCTCTCTCTCTCTCTCTCTCTCTCTCTCTCTCTCTCTCTCTCTCTCTCT